TTTATATCTTTAAACAATTTTAAGTTTTTCCTTTTTTTATATGTTTGTAAAACTACAAATATCTCTCTTGATTAAGACTCACTAAGGCTAGTTCCCTGGACTACTGTTTAAGGGAGCTAGCTGGATCCCACATGGCTGATGGGGTTGTTTGAGTAATGACCCCAGTGGCCTGGAAAACACACCAGGCATGTAAATGTGCATTCCCAAAATCCCAACAGAATGGAGAAATGGAGAAAGGATTGTGGCATGACCACATTCTGTTGGGGAAGGGTACTTTTTCTCTTACCTTCTTTCTCTCTACTGTCTTGCAAATTAAAAAATTAAAGATTTACTTATGTCTCATAGGTTTTTAAAGAATTATTTTATTTAATTTTATTTTAGCTTGACTAGAGGGAATTAGAGCAAGAGAGTGAGAGCAAAAGTGAGAGAGAGAGAGAGAGACTGAGAGAGAGAGGAGGCTAAAGTGAAAAAGCAAGCTGCCAGCTCCGGGACTTGAACCACAGTTGACCATGTGAGAGTCCAGCGTCCTTAACCATCATTCTGCTGGCTGGCCCTCTGTCTCACAGTTTTAACATGAGGCATTATTTTTTTTTGTTCGCTTATTATTTCATACATTTAACTATGATTTCTTTCTTGCCTATTATTTAGGAGGTTTCTTTTGGCTTCTAAAATGTGTTTCTTTTAGCTTCTAAAATATGTTTATCAATGACTTCTAACTTTATTTCTCAGTGGTTAGAATATTGTTCTCAGGATGAGCAGATAACTTAATGGTTATGTTGCTGGACTCCCACGTAGTTGACCGAGATTTGAGTCTCAGACCAAGCAGCTTAAAACTCATACCAGTTGCATGTGCATGCATGCCCTAGATCCCAAAAAGGAGAATGGAGGAGAAGGTTTACAGTATCACCATCCCCTCTGGGTGTGATTTCTTGCGTTCTGACTCTCTGTCTCTCTGTTTCTCCAGCAAGCTCACTCGCCCTATAGCAAAAAAAAATCTCTCTTACAAAAATAAAATAGAATATTGTACTCAAGATTTTTGTTTCTTTGGTACTGAATTACGAATTTGATATTTATCAAATACGTGTTTCCTTCAGACATTGTTTCAGGTCTTCATGATAATTATGAATAACTCAGCCTACTTCTTGCCTTTATGCAACTTGTATTCTATTGTAACAGATTGGTTTTTTTTTTAAATTACATATGCATAATTTGTGGCATGGGTAATATTCTTGTCTTGGTGTGGTCAGATATGATTGCTGAGTGGTCTTGCTTTTGTCTTTATCCTTCATAGTCACAGAGTGACCTTGTCTGGTATCTCTTGGATGTCTGGGGCTAGTTTTCTCTTTATTAATATTCTAGTGATTCTAGTATCATATCTCCTATATCATAATCTTGTACAGTTATTCCAATTTTTTGTGATGTCTTGAGCCTCAGTGTTTTCTATTACATTTTGTGATTCAGTGAGATTACTACTAGTAATGTTTTATAAGTAAAGCAACTTTTATCTTTCAGTTATTTGCTTCGAAAAGCTGTTATAGTGTTTTAAAGACTTTGTTATACCTTGAGGTTCAAATTTGGAAAGATCATTCATTTTCTAGGAGAAGTAATATTTTTCAAAGCTTTTAAGCTAACACATCTTCTTTCCCATAATCTGAAATACTCAATAGAAATAGATTTTGAGGCTGCAGGTGGCACAGTGGTGGTTCAGACTGTGGTCTCCCACATGTTCGACCATGGTTTGAGTCCCGGATCTGGCTGCTTGCTTTCTCACTTTCCCCCTCTCTCTGTGCATGTATCTCTGGTGAGCATACATGCCCTATACCAAATTTAAAAAAAGAATAATAAGAAGAAATAAAATGAAATAAGTAATTATTTTTTAAAAGAAATTGGCTTTGTTGTTCATCATTTTCCCTAGTGTACAAAAATAATTGATTTAAAGTTAAGTTAAAATATATCTTCGTATATATGACTTTACATACATTTTTATCTAAAGAAATACTTAAATACTTAAATATATATATTTTTAATTTTTTCATTTAGCAAGTCATATATGTCATTGACTTTAAGTTAGTATGTAAAGAAAGCTCAATATTTTTGTCAACTCCATTTTAAAATGTTTTATGTATGGTTTAATAACCATCTAAGTATATGTTATAGCATCAAGAATAACTCTTAATGATATCAGAGTAATGAAGATTTTTTTCAGCAAGACCCCTAAAGCACAGGCAGTTATCCTAAAAATGGACAAGTGGGAACTCATTAAATAAAAAGCTTCTGTACTGCAAAGGAAATAACAATTTGAGTGAAGAGATGATCCTCAGAATGGGAAAAATTATTTGTAAACTATGCTTCAGATAAGGGATTGATAACCAGAATATACAGGGAACTCAAACAGCTCACCCACAAAATAAAGAATAACCCAATTTAGAAATGGGCAAATGAGCTGAACAGACAATTCTCTAAGAAAGACATACAAATGGCCAAAAGGCGTAAGAAAAATGTTCATCATGCTTATCGTAAGAGAAATACAAATCAAAACCATAATGAGATACCTCTTAAGTCCAGTAAGAATGGTTTTTACTAAGAAAATGAAGAACAACAAGTGCTGACAAGGCAGACATGAAAAAGGGAACACTCCTACACTACTAGTGGATATGTGAATTGGTGCAGCCAATATGGAAACAATGTGGAGATTCCTCAAAACCCCACAAATAGAGCTACCATATGACCTTAAACCCACTCTTTGATGTTTACTCAAAGGACAAATAAACACTTTCAGAAAACCACTTGGACACCTATGTTTATTGTAACATTATTCACAATTGCTAAGATATGGAATCAACCTAAATTCCCAAAAACTAATGAATGAATTTAAAAACTGTGACACATGTACACTATGGAATACTATCCAGCCATAAGGAACAATGAGACCCTACTATTTGACTGAAAGTGGACATATATTAAAAGATTTAATGCTGAGCAAAATAAGCTAAACTATGAAAGACAAACACTGTATATCCTCACTTAATATTTATTGAATGGCTACAAAGTACAGCAGAAATGGAAAGATCAGAAAATATAATAGTAGGGAGGATAAGTGTAGATACCAGAAACCGTATGGGAAGGTTGGTGGGAGGGGCCCAGGGAAAGGCACTTACCAGATACAAGACTGTAAAGTTCTCTGTTGAAAATGATGTTTATATTAATATCTTTGATTCAATTGTTGTGTACCACACACATACCTTGAAAAACATATTGTGTGCTATAGAGATATACAGTGATTGAATATGTATCATAATCATAAAAAGAGTAAATATTAATTGCTCTAACGATCTGGTATTTGAATATATATGTCCTGTTAAAACTAGTAGCTTATTTTTTGCTGTTTTTGTGTCCCCTTATAACTTGTTGAAGTAAAGGATGAGGTCTCAGGATGCCGTGTAGGTTATCACCACACCATTATATCTATTGTTTTTACCACTGGTTTTGTGATGTTATTGAAACATATTCATGCACTACATTAGAATTTTCAAGAATAATAATAAAGAAATTTTCTTCAAAGGAATACTATTAATTAATTTCAGGAAACTAATCTTAAAGACAATCCATCAGAAATATTGTCATTATATTAATTCTGACCTATGGTTATCTTTCCACTTCTTTATTTTATTTTAAACCAATGATAGATTATTTTTGCTAAATTTAACCTATCATTGGTTGAAAAAAAGAGTTCTGGGAACCAGCAGTTAGCATAATGGCTATGTCCCTGGACTCCCACGTAGTCGACCGCGGTTCACGTCCCGGACCCAGTGGCTTAAAACTCACGCCGGGCGTGTGTGTGTGCGTGCCCAAGATCCCGAGAGGAGAATGGAGGAGAAGGGATTGCGGCGTGGCCATCCCCCCTTGGGGGTGATTTCTCGCTTTCTGTCTCTCTCTGTCTGTCTGGCGAGCGCTCGCGCCCTATAGTGAAAACTTCTCCAAAAAAAAAATAAGGAGGAGTTCTAATTGTAACCTGGATTCATATAACAATAAAAATTTCCAGCGTGGCTGGCAGTGTTTCATAGTACTGAGTCTGATTTCTGATTATTTTATACTTAATATCTGCTCTCAAATTCTGTTATTTTAAAAAGAAAAATATGCATTTGTTAATTGTCTTATTTGTTGATTTTAAAAATATTCCACCATTTTTAATGATGCGAGTCTCTGGAATACTTTTTTTCTTTTTTTCTGTTTTGGAGAGGGTTTTGCTATAGGGCATGTGTGCTCTCCAGACAGACAGAGACAGACAGAGAGACAGAAAGCGAGAAATCACCCCCCAGGGGGGATGGCCACGCTGCAATCCCTTCTCCGCCTTTCTCCTCTCAGGATCTTGGCACGCACACACATGTGCCCATGTAAGTTTTAAGTCACCGGGTCCAGGACGCTAACCCCGGTCGGCTACGTGGGAGTCCAGCGACATAACCATTACGTTAACTGCTGGTCCCTCTGGAATATTTTTGTGAACTTCTAAGGGTACATAAACCATTAGTTTAAAATGCCTACTGTAGTCAAAGAGAAAATAGAAATTACAGAAAGAAATTGGAAGCCAAATTTGCAGCCATGTCTTTTAATTGCCTAGGACTGAATGGCATAAACATGGGTTATTAAACTTACTCCATTTCATCTTTTATTTCATCTTCATTTTTCTTCCCAATTTTTCTTTTCTTCCAATTTTCACACTTATTTTTGTATTGTGAAATATATATTTATTTGCTTCTTCAATTCCTCTATGAAACAAGGGAAAGTTCACTGATAAGTGTTTATATTGAAGGAGAGTTTGCCATTTTTAAAAAATATGTAGGAAACCTATTTTTCTAGTCTTAAAAAAATGAAACTGCTATCCCTAATAAGATTGTCTTTGTAGTAATATTTTACTTTATTGTATTAATATCAAATTTTTATTTGAAGCAAACTAAAATTCATGTCAAGATTAAGAAAATAATTGTTCTAATGTTTTCTAGCTGCTAATAGGTTATGAAAACGGTACTGTGGTATTCTGGGACTTGAAATCTAAAAGAGCAGAGCTGAGACTTTATTACGATGAGGTAAGTGATTTCTACTGAAATATTTGAAAAATGTATTGTGACCTTGTGCCTGTTTTCTTCTTCAATTTTTGTCCTTTATCAATATTTTTATCATACCTTTTCTTATTTTTAAGAATTATTTTATTTAACTTAATTATTTGTTTATTTTAATTTGACTAGAGAGGGACAGAGTGAGAGAAAGAGAGAAACTGAGAGAGAGAGAGAGAGAGAGAGAGAGAGAGCAAACAAGCCACCAGGTCCAGGACTCAAACTACAGTCAATCATGTGGGAGTCCAGCGCCCTCAACCACTATGCCACCTGAGGGCACCATATCACACCTTTCTCTGACCCAATTCTTCATACTCTCTTTTGATATTTACACCAGTTTCAACTGTAGGTTAATCTCCTGAGTTGGAATTCCAACTTGACTACCTATTTGGGAGCCCTTTTGAGAGCATCTTATATACTTTGGTGCCTATTGCCAACCTATACTATATCCCCAACTTTGTCTCCTTTTCCTTCCTTTAGGCCCACGCTTATGCCTTACCTTATTGTCCTTAAGATCTCTAAAGATACTTTTTGTACCTACTTTTAAAAATTTATTTTCTACGAGAAAGGTTTAGGTCAATTTGAAAGTATGTAATACTTATGTCCTTGGAGTAAAGAGAGATTTTGTAAATAGTAAAACTTAATATCCAACAATAAGTTATTTTAAAAGAGTTATTTATTAATTTTATTTATCATTATATTATTTTAATTTGCTATAGGGCATTCTCACTCACCAGAGAGAAATAGAAAGAAAGAGAGAGGGAAAGTAAGAAAGCAAGCCACCAGATCTGGGACTCAAACTGTGGTTGGTCTTGTGAAAGTCCATCACCTTAATCACCACATCATCTGCTAGCCCCACAATAATATTTTGATACAAGAATTCTTTTATATAACAGACTTGATTCAGCTTTTGTTAGGAAAAACAATAAACTCTCATTTATCAGAGATTAGTCTTCCACTTGATACTCTCAGTTGTTCAGATATTGATTCTAGGCCATTAATTATTTCCCCCTTCATAAGAAGCTAATATGAAGAAAGTGAAGCTGGGTGTAAAAAGAATTATCTCTTGTAGCTGTGGAAATAAAGACAATCATCTATGATTTTAATTTAAATTTTAAAAATGGTGGGAATGGGGATAGGTAGAAGGAAAACATTGGTCAAAAATTGTCCGGTAACATTCATTTTTATATGAGAAGAATGCCTAATAATTTAAGGCAGTGTTTAAATAAATGGAAAAAGAAACACACACAAACACTCTTTTAGAATATTTCCTCCTTTTTATTGGAGGAATAAAAAATGACACCACATAAATTTTCAGTAATCACTCTAGGATACTTGGCAGTTTCTCCCAGTTCCATACCATGGTTCGGTTTTCAAAGTTTTAGTGCTACCGGGCATGGTGGCGCCCGCCCTATGGCAAAGTTTTAGTGCTGAAAGATGTAAGTGTCAGGGCAAGCAGGTGGTGTGGTGGTTGAGGCACTGGATTCCACATGACGGACACCGGTTCAAGTCCTGGACCTGGTGGTTTGAAAATTACACCAGTGCATCTGTGTGCATGCCCAAAATCCCAGGAGAATGGAGGAGAAGGGATTGCAAGTGGCCATCCCTCCAGGTGATGATTGATCACTTTTTTCTCATTGTAATTCTTTTCTCTCTCTAGTAAGCTCATGCACCCTATAGGAAAATACTCTAAAAAAAAAAATGACAAAAAAATAAAGATGTAAGTTTTCACCTATTTCATAAGTTTCACAATTTTTAAAATTTCTTTTTATTTCTATTTCTTTTATACTTTCAATCACATATTACTTAGCTTATAAAGTGGATATTCCAACATATGTATATTTCTTACCAGTCCAGTTGACAATACTATAAAATTATCTTTAATAGATGATAATTCATTTCTTCATCCCATAAATACCTTGCCTCTTTGTTTTTCTCCTTAACGTCCTTCCTCAGACTCTATCCTTCACTCACCTTCTTCCCACACTCTATCTGGTATTCACAACCATTTAGTTAAGTTTCTGTAACCTTTAGTCATTCAGTTTCAGCCATGGAGTGCAAACACTCTATATACATTAAGTGGAGAAATACAATGTCTCTCCTTCATAGCCTGCCTTGCTTCACTTAGCAGTAAATCTTCCATATTCATCCACTTTCTGTCAAAAGCCAGGGTCTTGTTGTTTTTTATGGTTGAATAGTATTCCATAGAGTATATGTGGTATACTTTTTCAATCCATTCATCTGTTCATGGACATTTGGGTTAGTTCCATGTCTTAGCAATTGTGAATAATGCCACAATAAACATCGATATGCAAGCACTTTTCCAATTGAGAATTCTTCTGTTTTTTGGGTAAATACCAAGCAGTGGGATTGCTGGATCATGTAGTAGTTCTATTTGCAGATCTTTGAGGAATCTCCATGTTGTTCTCTACAGTGGATAGACCAATTTACATTCCCACCAGCAGTGTAGAAGAGTTCCCCTTTCACCACACCCCCACTCTCACTCATCATTTTTTTTTTTTTAATCTTAGTTATTCTGACTGAGGTTAGGTGGCATCTCCCTTACAATGAGGGATGTTGAGCGTTTTTTCATATGCCTTTTGGCTATTCATATGTATTCCTTGGAGAGTGGTTTTTTCCAACTCATTCTCCCATCTTTTCATAGGGTTAATCGTCTTTTTTTCAGGACAGCTGCTTGAGTTCCTTGTGTATTCTGGTTCTCAGTCCTTTATCTGATACATAGTTTACAAAAATATTTTCCCATTCTGAGGACTGGCAATTCACACTAATTACTGTGTATTTTACCATACAGAAACTTCTTAATCTGATGTAATACCATTTGTCTATTTTTGGGATTATTGACTGTGCTTTGGAGGTTTTATTTAAGAAGTCTTTGCCTACCCCAATGTCTTCCAGAGTTTCTCCAGTGTTTTCCAGCAGTAGATTTATAGTTTGAGGTCTTAGATTTAAATCTTTGATCCACTTTGAGTTGATTTTAATCAATGGTGAGAGATAGGGGTTCAGATTCATCTTTCTGCAGGTGGATATCCAGTTTTTCCAGCACCATTTGCTAAAGAGGTTTTCCTTTCCACACTGGATTTACAGGTACTCTTTGTAAAAAAATCAGTTGGCTGTATGTTTGGTAGTTTATTTCTGGGGACTCTATTCTGTTCCATTGGTCTACCTGTCTATTTCTGTGCCAATATCATGCTGTTTTGACTACCACAGCTTTGTAGTATATTTTTGTGTTAGGGAGTGAGATGCCACCCACTCTACTCTTCTTATGCAGGATTGCTTTGGCAATACAAGATATTTTATGATTCCAGACAAATTGTCTTATTGTCTTTTCTAGATCTGTGAAGAATGTCTTTGGCACTTTGATTGGGATTACATTAATTATGTAGATTAATTTGGGTAGCGTCGCCACTTTGATTGTATTAACTCTTCCAATCCAGGAACATGGGATGTCCTTCCGCTTTTTTGTGTCATTTTCAGTATCTGTTTTTAGCTTCTTATTGTTTTCCTGTGGTGGTCTTTAACTTCTTTTGTTAGCTTTATTCCTAGGTATCTTATACTTTTTGTGGCTATGGCAAATGAAATTACTTTTTTCAGTTCTAGCTCAGTCTGCCTACTATTCATATATAGAAATGCTACAGATTTCTATATGTTGATTTTGTATCTTGCAACTTTACTGTATTCATGTAAATTCAGTAATTCCAGGAATTTTTTCATGGATACCATTGGATCTTCTATGTACACCATCATGTCATCTGCAAATAGAGATAGTTTCACCTCTTCTTTTCTTGTTTGAATGCCTTTTATTTTGTTCTATTTTCTGATTGCATTGGTGAGGACTTCCAGTACTATATTAAAAAGGAGTGGAGAAAGTGGGCATCCTTGTCTTGTGCCAGTTTTTAGTGGAAAAGCTTTCAGTTTTTCTCCATTCAGGATGATGTTTGCTATGGGTTTTTCATAGATAGCTTTTATTGTGTTGAGAAATGACCCTTCTATGCCGATTTTGCTGAGAGTCTTGATCATGAAGGGATGTTGTATCTTATTGAATGCTTTTTCTGCATCAATTGATATGACCATATGGTTTTTCTCTTTCTTCCTATTAATATAGTGCATTACATTTATGATTTTGCATATGTTGAATCAACCTTGTATCCCTGGAATAAATACTACCTGGTCATCATGTATAATCTTTCTTATATGTTGTTGGATACTATTTGCTAGTATCTTGTTGAGAATTTTTGCATCTACAATCATCAGAGATATTGGTCTATAGTTTTCCTTCTTTGTCTTGTCCTTATCTGTTTTAAGGATAAGAATGATGGAGGCTTCATAGAATTAATTTGGGAGAGTTTCACCCTTTTGAATCTTTAGAAATAACTGATCTTATTATTTCTTTTCTCCTGGAGTATTTTATATTTTTTGCTGTTGTTTGTCCAATTCTGTGAGGCATGATGTTAGGTGATCCATTTGCCTTTTTTCCATCTTCTTCTTATGTGCACTAATTGCTATGAACTTCCCTCTTATGACTGCTTTAGCAGTGTCCCAAAGATTATGGAAACTCATGTCCTCATTGTCATTGGCTTCTATGAATCTTTTCATTTCAGTCTTAATTTCTTCAGTAGTTGTGAAGTCATTCAGGAGTAAGTTATTTAGCTTCCATGTATTGTGTATTTTTGAGGACTTTCCTTGAAATTAAAATCAAGTTTAATTCCATCATAGTCAGAGAAGTTGTTGGATATAGTTTCTATGCCTTTGAATCTGTAGAGGCTTGCTTTGTGCCCTATTGTGTGGTCAGTCTTTGAAAAGTTCCCATGTGGGGGTGAGAAAAAAGTGTATCTTATGGTTTTTGGGTGGAAAGTTCTACAGATATCTGTTAAGTCTATTTGATTTATGGTATCATTTAGATCCTATATCTCTTTACTCATTTTTTCTGTCTAGATGATATGTCCAGATTAGAT